ATCTCTTGTATTTATATATAATTTTATTCTTTTTCTATTTGCAAAAAGTAAAATACCTTTTTTCCATGCAATTTACGGAGGTCTAGAAACAAGAATGAAAAGAAAAAACACTGCAGTTTATAGTCCCCAAAATCAATAAAAAAAAATACAAACAAAAAACCATCCAAAATATGGAGTATTTGACTATTTAAAATTGTAAAAGCATTTCAAAACCACTTGATAGATGTTATAAAATATTTCTAAACAAGTTTAATTAGAAAATCATTAAGTTTTGCATATACGTGTTTCTTTATACATATATTTAGGATTGTAAGTGGATTGCACTTAAAGTTGTCAATATGTCCAATTCCACATAATCCAATCACGTTTTTTAAAAATTAAATGGAGTTATCGGGTAAGATTGTGTAACAAATAGCATTAAAAAAAATAATTGAATTGTGTACTCAATCTATAAATGTCATATATATATAAACACCTAACTCAACTACATGATAAATATATAATAAACATATTTTTGTTTAATAATTTTATTATAAAAATAATTATATTTTATCTTAATTGTATAATATGGTATCCAGTCGGTCAAAGAGTTAGGATGACTATTTTATCTAGACGTCATGTCTCGATCCGGTATGTTATGAGAGGCCGCGTCATTTTCGATAAAAGATAATTATATAAATGACAAATAGATATATAATAAAAGTTTTATAAAGCAATTGGATTATAGTTAGACTATTCAAAAAGAAAAACTGATAGCAAATAATGTATTTATTACTATAACAACTGTAATTATTATAACCTGTAAACTTAATTGTGGAAGTACCTTATGCAGTACAACAAATCGAATTAGACTACCATTATTAAAGACTAAATCTCAAGTGTCCACCAATTTTGCATAGATATTAATATTATTTATTTACATATTATAAACATTCTGGTAGTCTTATAATTATTAAGGAATATTATGGACATACTTAGCTCTTGTAAGATAGTCCAGATACTTTCCTAATTATAATGAAGCAAAGCTAATAAACTTTCACTCTAATAAATCCATATCAGCTTAGTCAAAGAATGGTGTTTCTTTGAGCCAGGTAACGTTCTTTCTTACTTTTAAGTATATTTTTTTTCACTAAGATATTTTTGTTGGATAAAAACAAAAATGTGACTCATTCACATTTTGAAAAGAAGTGTCAATGTTTTCATATATCATATATTGAGGAAGAATGTCTTTCACCTTCACTAAATCTCCTTAAATTGCTTCAATGCATCAACCATTTTTTTTGTCCTTTCTTCCTTCTTTCATTATAAAATGAATGCAAAATGTGCAGCAAAACACAACTCACCAAGAATCAAACGGTGAAGAAAGAATTCAAGAGGAGAAAGAGAGAAAGCCACGAGTACTACTGTGAAGAGAGAAACATCACCGAGAGGTGAAAGACACTGTGTAATAGATACTGTGAGTGTGCGGAAGAGAGTTTTTTTGTATACCATCCGAGAGGGTGAGATTTATTGAGAGGTCCTCAGAGAGTGAGAGAAACACTGTAATCCTACTTTCATAGTGGAGATAATTTTCTGGACTACGTCCCGTGGTTTTTTCCGAAAGTATTTTCCATGTTAAAATTTCCGATATTATTTTTTCCTACGCATACATTTTTATTTTTACGCTTCCGCATAGTGCCCATTTTAGATTAGAAGAGAAGGGAACAAATACCGCTGTTGCCCAACAATTTACTGTCCTTCAAGTAAGTCACCAATATGTTCTGTCCTATAATAAGTACTACGATGTTCTTCTTTATAAAATATTTACTTTGATATATTTTTAAATAAATGATATTTTTTTTCAAAAGTTGTTATTTGAGTACACTGTGCTAAATAAAAAAACAAAGATAAATTCAATCTAATTAAATTTAACTAGATCGAATAAACATCAAATTAAACTCAAGTTAATTAGACCGTTATTCTCTGTTATTATTCATTATATCAAATCAGTCATTAAAATTTTGAAAAATATATATAAAAATGGAGTAATAAAATAATTTATTTTATCCGTGGAGCAATAGTGGTAAATTTTTGGAGGGGCATGGTTCTTTTAAATCCAAGCACTGTTTGGAAATATCCAACAAATGCCATGCGGTGTCTATGTAACCTAATATCAATTGTAACTTTTCAATTTTGGTTTTAGGTTTTTATATTTTGAAGATGATATTTAGTTCTTTCTGGAAAGACCACATTAGTCTGATTCGTAAGCCATTGTGAATAAGATGCAAAAACAAATTAGCTATTTAAGTTCATCAGTTTGGATAAGTTTGATTTACATGCTTACTCATCCAATTTTCTAATTTTACATTAATTCTTAAACATTTCATTATATATTAAATTTTTAATATTTAATTGAAATTAAAACATTAAAAAAATCATTGTTTTTTAAGTCATGTAAACTTGCAATCGTTTGAGATAAGTCAAACTAATTAACCACATTATGCAGGTTATAACTTGCTTCATCCGATCAAACAAATATAAGATTAGCTGAAATGAAATAGATTGACTCATGCTATCATTACAAGCGACCATGTTAAACTTTTTAAATCATTAAAAAGATACTATCTACTTTATCTACATATGTAACTAAAGTTTTATATAATTATTTACTTATGGTGGTTTTATCGTAATAATTATTGAAATTGGAGTTAATTTCATAATACATATATTTTAAACCTGCTCTGTAGGACCTCGTTAAAGTATATTTATATATAATATTTTTTAAAAATATGCATAAATTAAATTAAGTTTCTAAATATTAATAAGATGTTAAATATAATTATATTAAAATTATATTACATAAGAAGTATATCTTTACAAATAAGGTATTATGAATGAATGTATACTAACTTGACATCACTTACAAATTGTTTTTATTGGAGGACTCAGATCATGCATGTTGAATGCAGATTGATAGTACCCAAATATCTTGTATCAACCTTCCTTTTATACTTCCGAAATTTGGTGCGAATATTCTTGGATAAATTATAATTAAAAGTAAAATAACATAATTCGGATAGTTTTTTTTATTAATTTGAAATTGTCAAAGAAATTCAAGTTGAACTAATCTCGTTAAACTATATCAGTTGAATTTATTAGAAACTAAATCAACACATGCAATTTAGCTTTTAAAAACACAAGCAATTTAGCTTTTAAAATAATTCTTTCATATATTTCTTTGATTAATTTGTTCAAGCATTGGTAAAAATTTTTAAACTGGGAGGGAATAAAAAATAGTGAAGACGACTCAGATTTATATTCATCATGATCGAGATTACGCATTCAATACCCAATTGGTATCGTTGGATTACACTAATGTCTTGATGATGCCACTCAACTTAATATTAAATAAACCGTTTTTTCCTCTCTTTTTTCTTCAAGTTGGGTTCGTTTATTAGATTCTTATGTTAGATTGAATCCATCATCACCTCAAATGGTATTAATTAGGGAGGCTTCTTTTATAAATATTTACATTTGTATATATTTTTATGTAAGCTTCAGCTGCATTTTATATTGATATAACAATTTTTTTAATGAAATTAATATTTTATTTTTTACAACACGTGTTTGGTTTCAGCCAATTTTAGGCACCAAATATAGGGTGGAAACTTGGACGCGTTTGAATTAGTTTGAATAATATTTTATGATGTAATTTTTGGACAATATTTTATAAATTATTTTTCTAGTTTATGAAAAAATTGATCAGAAATCTCTTTTTTTTTTTTTATTTTTAATTTTAAAAAAAAAATTCAACAACCGTCGAAACATTAGTATTTTCGATGCACCATTCTCAACTTAATATTTTATAAAATGACAAATCACTGAAGACAGCTGTTATATAAATGTAACATTGACCTTTACTTTAGTTTCTTTTTACATTTACTTATAAAGAAATGATATCGTTGGCACAAGACGATGTATATCGATTGGTTTACATTAAAGAATAATATTGTCTATACGAGACAATATCATCATCTCGTATTACTGATGTGATTAACGAAATTATAATTGATTCATGAAAGACTAAAATGAGATTGTAATACCTTAAAAATATTTAGTATGGACCTAACCTAGTTAACCCTCAGGTGAAGAATCATGACAATAATATAAAAATATATTATTCACGAGTTATTATTACAATTATTATTATACTTAACTGTCAGAGTGTTTTTACAAACACTCATTCTTGATTGAAAAGATCTCGACGGAATCGAAAAAATGATTAGAAACAACCCGTCTATTGAAGAAAAAAAAATCATGAACACTAAAAATTAAGGAGAGTATTTGGACTCTAAAGAACATAATAATTGCAACAATGTTTTGTTATATAATATTTATTTTGAATTGTTATATTTTGATAGAATAAAAAAAATTACAAATTAAAACATTATTATGGTAAAAAAGTCAGGGACGAGATAAGGTACACATAAAGACATGCTTTAAATTCCTTTGGCTTGTAGTATGACAAGTGAGACTGTGAGAGAGAAGATTTAAAATTTTGGTGTGCTCATAATGAATTAACGAGTACCTACTTTACTCGGAGTCGGAGAAGAAGCTTCTATTAAGTTCGGTTATGTTATTTGGTAGTATCTTTTTGATGGCTGTTAGCTAAGAATGAAACCGAGTGGTACTGTGACATGCAGGTCCCACGTAAGGGTTGTCACGTAATTATACTTCATTTCTAAGGCTGATTCTCACCATACATATTTATTTATTATAAATACATGTCATATGATCATATGATGCAATTAATGAACATTAAAATCACACAAAACGCTCACTGATTACCAATCCATTGTTTTTGGACTCCACACAAGCCTCAAACCTTTCTCTCTCTTTATCTCTCTATGCAAAACCACCCTCTTCCTTACCACGCATCTCTGCCAAACAGCACGTAACTCAACATATCAACCAAAGACCTGACTCTGAATCTGAACCTTCTGTCGACAAAAGGTATGTTCTGTCTGTCTTGTCTCCATAAGGTTGATGAGATGGCATGTGGTTTTCTCTTTCTGTTTATGTTCAACTTTGATCGTGGTTTGTTTGAGGACATGTTTGACAAGGGTTAATCTGGGTTGGTGTTATAATACGCTGAAACTTCTATTTCTGTCTATTTTCAACAGTCAAATCTGATTTGTAATCTTCGGAGATGTTTCTTGTTTCTTTAGCATTTTGGTTACGTTTCTTTGACGTGGAGGTTGTGGACGCGCTTCCACCGTGTTTGTGGTGGTTTTGTTCTAACATCCGGGTTATAGAGCATTGTTATTTGTGTTAGTTGTTTTTCTTTTGCCGACTTTGTTAAAAAACTGCTTTCTCTTTATTTTGGCAGTTACTTGCCTTTTTCTCTATCCTAAAACCTGGTAGAGTTTACCACCGTTATTGGAATATATGAATTTTGTTTTATATCTACCAATATTATGCTAGTCTCTCTGTTTCTTTATACCGGTGATTTTCTTGCTGAACTAATGGCTTTCAATTTTAAGAGTCCTCTCTGCTCTGTAAAATGAATTACGTATGTGTTGAAAACTTAGTTCTATTCTAGAAGGGAAAAGGAATAAAACTTGTTTTTGTCTTGCTTTATAATCTGTGCTTTTGGTTGCTAAGATCTTCTCTGGTTTCTAATTACATAATCTATTATTAGTTTCACAAGTGGATGATTTTTTTTTTTAAAGGTAATGCAGATTTAACTGTATAAGTTATTAAGAGTTTTGACAGCTACACCTCCTTGTTACATGAAATAAATCTTATTAGAGTGCGCATCTGTTTGTCCTTATCTTTTCCCTTACTTTTGACCCTTTCTAAATTTGACTCTCTTTGAGTTTGCATCTCGTGATTTCTAGAGCAATCGAATGGTCTTCTTCCCTCTTTCTAATTACTTTACCTTACTTTGCTTTTGTGGGAAAGAAATTCTGAAATAGATAAGATATTAGTCTTCTCAGTTCTTTCATCCTTCCTTTTGCACTTTTAGAAATTGTGAGAACCTTCCAAATCACAAGACTGGGATATGTTGCGAACTTGCTATAAGTTGATCTGTTGTGGTGTATTGTATAACATGGTTCATCACATACAAAAATCTCCTGGAATTGTTGTTTGAGTATCAAAAAACAGGTGTCTAATTAAAACTACTCTCTCTCAGTTGTCAAATGGTGTTAAGTAACCTTTTTCCTTTCATTTTTAGCATTGTAATTGCGCCTTGAGTGTTGGTCCTGATGGATTCTAGGATGATTTTAATTTTTTTTCTCTACATGGAAACAATTACGTAGAAACTCCTATGTGGACTGAAATCTTTGTATTATAGAGTGCATCAGCGTGTGCTTTTCTCTACTTCGTCTTCATTTGATAAGACCTTGCTTTGGCAAACTGTTAAAATTTATTTCTCGCTTTATTTAATCAGCATTGAATCTCCGTTGACAATTTATCTTACTATGCAGGTTGTAGACAACAATTTTTGCCGATATTTGAAGCATCTGGCAGCTGATCAAAATGAAGATTGATCATCCAACTAAACGGAAGTGTAGAGATATATGCATTTGATGAAGGGGAAATCAGAAAGAGTTAGGAAGAACTTTTACAACCACAAAATTTGACCATCATTATTCTAATCAATAACTCTCAGCTGAGCAAATAATTTCTTTTTAGATGCAAACGTCCCAGAAACACCCAGCTTCATCCGGTTTCGATTTATACCACCAGCCTGTGCAAAACGTCGATCCCTACACTCGTTACCAAGTATTGCAAAGCAATTCTTGCCATGAAATCCATGATAGCAACAGTCAGGGAACCACTATCTCGTTTGAACCCTGCAAGGAGCAATACTTTACCCTTGAATCATCCCCAGCACTCAATGATCTCATAGGTAGTGATTCTCCTTCCTATGCCAGTGTATCGTCCAATTCCAACAGAAGTCCTTTTTCTCCGCATGCTTCTCATTCATACCATTCAGACCAGCATCAGTCATCTGACAACAACTATGGATCACCAACGAGTGCACACTCCAGTGCTGATGATAGCTATGAACTGAAGCACAAGCTCAGAGAACTTGAGATTTCACTGTTGGGGCCTGATTCAGAAATTGTTGACAGTTGTCACTGCTGCTACGAGGGTGGCCACCACGGAGCATCTCCAATGGCTAAATATAATTGGGATCAGGTTGTAGAAATGATTCCAAAACTAGACTTGAAAGAAGTCCTCAGTCGGTGTGCACAGGCTGTATCTGATGGTGATATTGAAACAGCGGTGGGATTTATGAATAATGTATTGCCAAAGATGGTATCAGTAGGGGGTGATCCAATCCAGAGGTTAGGGGCCTACATGTTGGAGGGTCTAAGAGCAAGGTTGGAGTCTTCAGGGAGCCTAATATACAAAGCCTTGAAATGTGAACAACCAGCAAGCAAAGATCTCATGAGTTACATGCACATCTTGTACCAGATTTGTCCATATTGGAAGTTTTCTTATGTATCTGCCAATGCTGTCATTGGAGAAGCAATGCAAAATGAATCAAGAATCCACATAATTGACTTCCAAATAGCACAGGGCACTCAGTGGATGCTGCTTATTCATGCTCTTGCATCTCGTCCTGGTGGTACACCTTTCATTCGTGTAACTGGTGTCGATGATTCCGAATCCTTTCATGCAAGAGGAGGAGGACTTGACATTGTAGGAAAACGGCTCTCAGAATATGCCAAATCCTGTAGAGTTCCATTTGAGTTCCACAGTGCGGCAATGTCTGGATGCGAGGTTGAACTAGAAAACCTTGTGGTTCTACCGGGGGAAGCTCTGGCTGTGAATTTCCCTTTTGTTTTGCACCACATGCCAGATGAGAGTGTGAGCACAGAGAACCACAGGGACAGGCTATTAAGACGGGTTAAGAATTTGTCACCCAAGGTTGTGACACTGGTTGAGCAAGAATCCAACACCAACACTTCCCCCTTTTTCCAAAGGTTTGTTGAGACATTGAGTTATTACAGTGCAATGTTTGAGTCAATAGACGTGGCCCTGCCCAGAGAGGATAAGCAAAGGATCAGTGCTGATCAACACTGTGTGGCTCGTGACATTGTTAACATGATAGCTTGTGAGGGGCCTGAGAGGGTGGAAAGGCACGAACTTTTGGGGAAGTGGAGGTCAAGATTTTCAATGGCTGGTTTTTCACCATGCCCTTTGAGTTCCTCAGTCACCAATGCAGTTAGAAATATGTTAAGAGAGTTCAATGGAAATTATAGGCTAGAACATATAGACGGTGCGCTCTATTTAGGATGGAAGAGAAGAGCCCTCTGTACATCTTCTGCCTGGAGATGTTACTGACTCACTGGCATACATCTATCTATGTCTGCATCTTCTTCTTCCTTCTTCTCTTGTATTATCATCTACTCATTTTTCTCTAGTATCACCATTTTCTCAACAGGACCACTACCTATCAAGATACTTATGCATATTTTTTTCGATAACTTTTCTCTAAACCTTTATACAAGACAAACAAATTTTAAATTTTATTCAACTAAACAAGAAAATTAAAAATAAAAATCCTCTGCAAGTAATTATTATAGTAAACTTTGATTGATTGCTCTATACGTAAAACAAGAAGAAATAATTTTATAACATTTTAAATTAATAAATTGTATTATTTATCTTTTAAATACGTGAATATACACTCTCTTCGTATTTAAATTAAATTTCAATAAGCATTTTTTATCATCACAAAATTAGAAAAAAAAACGTTAAAAATGGATTAAAGCATTTAAGTTTAACCTTTTAATAACGATTTTTTACAATGAGAAAAAAATATTAAATTCAGTTAGTGTCTGAAAATAGATTAAATCGAGTGAGAGGAGCTTATGACTGGATTATATCAACTGGGCAAGGCTATTATTATAACATATTTAGTTCATAAGGTTACCCTCTAATATATTCAGAAATCATTTTAGGTCTAACAAATCAGCTTATTTAACCATATGAGCTAATCAAATTAATCTTATAGGTTATACAAAGTCTGAAATTAAACTTATAACATATTTAGTTAAGTCACACATTTAACGTTTTTTGCTGCAAATTTGTAATTAGTTTTTACGGATGTCACATTAGATCATAAAACTATCTTCATATTAGATACATTAAACTCAAATTTTAAAAGGTCTCAAATTCACATAGTTATCTATCTTGACGTGAAATAATTTTCTCTACATCTTAAAATAAATTAATCAATTTAGGCCTTTTAAGAAGGTATTTCTCATAGAGAAGTGAAATAATGTATTTGGGCTTGTACATGGAGTGAACCGAATGTTTTTTTTTTTTTCAATAAAAACTAAGGATCACAAGTTTTTGAATTAAAAAAAAGAAACACCTGGTAAAAATTGCGTGAAAAACAAATTTTGTCCTAAATAAAAAAAAATCCATTTCAGAAAACAAGATTCATCTAAATTTAAAAGGTTAAAAACAAAATAAATCTTTTAAAAAGTGAGAAGAAAATGAATAATAAAATAAAGGGTGAAAAAATAGCTATCATTAAACATTAAAAAAAAAATCTAAGTAAAGGAATTTAAATAATGTCTCCTTTTTTCGGGTTATTCTCTAAATATAAACAAATAAGATTCATATATATTGATTACAACCTAAGTTCAGACATGGTGGACCTTGCGTAGTTTGAGATTCAGGTTTGGAACCATTGATTTGGCAAATTCTCCATTGAACCGTTATTATTGGACGCAGAAGCAAGGGTGGTCCACGAACCTTGTCATGCAAATCTCAAGCAAAAAACAAAAAACAACAACACTAATTAATTAAATAAAGAACACTATTTTTCTATCATTCACATCCCATGCTTCCTTTCATTTTAATGCATTATACCAACAAATTCCTTCGCTCTGTCTCCCCAGTATCAATTCATTCGGCACTGGCAGGTAACAAATGTCTTTTTTCCATATTTTCATTTGCCAAATCCACAAATAATACTAACCTTTTTCAAGTTCTTAATTTTGAATCATATAATTAGCCTACACAAATATCTAATCTAGAAACTGAATTTTCAATTTTGATAAACGACCCTCTTGCTATTCGATGCCTGAAGCTAGCAGTTTTAGACTTTGCCAGATTTTCATGGATTTTATTGTTATTAGATAAAGACAACAATGCCTTATATTTACAACATGAAATGTGCATGCATTATATTTACAAGTTTCATCTTGATACAAAATTCTCTTCCTTTTTTCTTGGTTAGGAAAGTGAATAATTTTCAACCTTTTGTTCACCCAAAAACAGAACGGAAAAGAGAAATGTGGGATGTTAAGAAGAGAGGTTTCAAGGGTGAGTGAGTGAGTGAGCATGGAGGAGTTTTCAGGGAGGGGAGAGTTAAGGAGAATGCAGAGGGAGCAAGAGAGAGAGAGGAGACGCATCCGTGACAGACAGAGGAGACAATCAATGACTCAAGAACAAAGGGAAAGACATCTTGCAAGACGCAGGAGAAACTACCAACTCAGAAGACAAAGAGCTGCAAATGCTCATCTTCCATACTCTTTTCCTCAATTTCAACCTCCAGAATCAAGTGCTGGTGAAGCCAGCACCAGTGATGAGCTTCAGGGTTTGCCTTCTCCAACCTTTGCAGAATATGGAATCTTTCCTCATGTCATTGGTTTCCCTCATCACCACCTCAACCTAGGACAACAAATGCTAAACATGGGAACCAAAGTTGTTCAAGGTGATTCATGTTAAGTTCACATTACCAATCTTTTGTTGTTTTCTTTTCAAGCTAACAAATTTATGTTTCATTTACTTTTTTTGAACAATAGGGTCATCGGTCCCCTTGGAAACTTTACTTTGTAAACCAGCCAATTCACCAAAGCGGATGCGACTAAATCATGTCAGAGGTCTTGCACGAAACCTGACACACTCCATTGTTAATCCTCCTTGTATTCGTTTGGTTGCATCAGAATTAATACCTAAGGAACATCAAGATGTATCAGTTGGTAAGTTTGGGGAGTGCTTTTAATGTAAAAAATAGGTTGTTAGCACCTTTAAGTGTTATTGTGTCCATTTTTCAGGTAGCACAGTAAAATCATTGCGTTTGAATTGTGTGAAGCGTCTTGCCCGATCAAAAAATTCTTTTTATGAGGAGACTGCATATGAGAATGACCTTAAATTTCCAGCAGGAGGGTTCAGTTACTTGCTAGCAAGAACTTCATAGTCTTTATTTAACTCACTGATATAACTTATGGCATATACATAAACTATATATGAATGTAATTTATGCATATAGAAAAACTTATGTTTGAGGATTGATTAATATTTCTTTTGGTAAGATAATCATAACATACATTTCATGTAGATGTTTGTCAGGTAAATGATAGATGATGATAGATTTTACTATATTCAGTTTTTTTCCTCTTTTAATTTACATGTTATTATTATATTACATAAGTTTAAAGTGAAACTTTGTTTTTCTGTCCCTACTTTTCCTTTGTCATAAAGTTGAGTTGACATTGGTTTGANTTTATTAGATTCTTATGTTAGATTGAATCCATCATCACCTCAAATGGTATTAATTAGGGAGGCTTCTTTTATAAATATTTACATTTGTATATATTTTTATGTAAGCTTCAGCTGCATTTTATATTGATATAACAATTTTTTTAATGAAATTAATATTTTATTTTTTACAACACGTGTTTGGTTTCAGCCAATTTTAGGCACCAAATATAGGGTGGAAACTTGGACGCGTTTGAATTAGTTTGAAGAATATTTTATGATGTAATTTTTGGACAATATTTTATAAATTATTTTTCTAGTTTATGAAAAAATTGATCAGAAATCTCTTTTTTTTTTCTGAATTTTAAACTTAAAAAAAAAACTCAACAACCGTCGAAACATTAGTATTTTCGATGCACCATTCTCAACTTAATATTTTATAAAATGACAAATCACTGAAGACAGCTGTTATATAAATGCAACATTGACCTTTACTTTAGTTTCTTTTTACATTTACTTATAAAGAAATGATATCGTTGGCACAAGACGATGTATATCGATTGGTTTACATTAAAGAATAATATTGTCTATACGAGACAATATCATCATCTCGTATTACTGATGTGATTAACGAAATTATAATTGATTCATGAAAGACTAAAATGAGATTGTAATACCTTAAAAATATTTAGTATGGACCTAACCTAGTTAACCCTCAGGTGAAGAATCATGACAATAATATAAAAATATATTATTCACGAGTTATTATTACAATTATTATTATACTTAACTGTCAGAGTGTTTTTACAAACACTCATTCTTGATTGAAAAGATCTCGACGGAATCGAAAAAATGATTAGAAACAACCCGTCTATTGAAGAAAAAAAAATCATGAACACTAAAAATTAAGGAGAGTATTTGGACTCTAAAGAACATAATAATTGCAACAATGTTTTGTTATATAATATTTATTTTGAATTGTTATATTTTGATAGAATAAAAAAAATTACAAATTAAAACATTATTATGGTAAAAAAGTCAGGGACGAGATAAGGTACACATAAAGACATGCTTTAAATTCCTTTGGCTTGTAGTATGACAAGTGAGACTGTGAGAGAGAAGATTTAAAATTTTGGTGTGCTCATAATGAATTAACGAGTACCTACTTTACTCGGAGTCGGAGAAGAAGCTTCTATTAAGTTCGGTTATGTTATTTGGTAGTATCTTTTTGATGGCTGTTAGCTAAGAATGAAACCGAGTGGTACTGTGACATGCAGGTCCCACGTAAGGGTTGTCACGTAATTATACTTCATTTCTAAGGCTGATTCTCACCATACATATTTATTTATTATAAATACATGTCATATGATCATATGATGCAATTAATGAACATTAAAATCACACAAAACGCTCACTGATTACCAATCCATTGTTTTTGGACTCCACACAAGCCTCAAACCTTTCTCTCTCTTTATCTCTCTATGCAAAACCACCCTCTTCCTTACCACGCATCTCTGCCAAACAGCACGTAACTCAACATATCAACCAAAGACCTGACTCTGAATCTGAACCTTCTGTCGACAAAAGGTATGTTCTGTCTGTCTTGTCTCCATAAGGTTGATGAGATGGCATGTGGTTTTCTCTTTCTGTTTATGTTCAACTTTGATCGTGGTTTGTTTGAGGACATGTTTGACAAGGGTTAATCTGGGTTGGTGTTATAATACGCTGAAACTTCTATTTCTGTCTATTTTCAACAGTCAAATCTGATTTGTAATCTTCGGAGATGTTTCTTGTTTCTTTAGCATTTTGGTTACGTTTCTTTGACGTGGAGGTTGTGGACGCGCTTCCACCGTGTTTGTGGTGGTTTTGTTCTAACATCCGGGTTATAGAGCATTGTTATTTGTGTTAGTTGTTTTTCTTTTGCCGACTTTGTTAAAAAACTGCTTTCTCTTTATTTTGG